GGGGGGGGGGGTTCTACAATGGAATGTGTGTGCTACGGACTAAAAGGATTTCTTAAGCATGAAAATTGTCTTTTTAAAGACAGAAAAATTAGGCCATAAGACCACTCCCGGTGTTCATTGCTACAGCCAGCCCCGCCGTTTCCTCGTCTTTTGCCTGGCGCTCTGTGACTCCCCATCGTTATCTCCCTCCGTGTTGTGTGTATCAATAACTGTAACTCTACATAAGTAATTACATGTATATCCATAAGATGTATACATTAGTGGAACAGCCAGAGGCAGGGGCGCTGAGCTTGATTCGTCTCACCAAGTGTAGACGGAGGAAAGCATAGGAAGTGCAGATTTCATATAATCGCAGCAGCTGATCTAAAGTTTCCTTCACTCTTTTCCCCCTTCCCTGCCCAAATTTATATAGGCAACATGAATTCATTAACTTTCTAGCTAGTATCCTTTCTCCACCGCTTCCTTCGGGTGTATCTATAGCTCAGAGGAGCGTGCGATGCGTATGCGCACGCCTTCGTCATCATTACGACTAAACAATTAAACATACATCATGTTCTGTTGTTCCTTGTAAATAACTGTTGTATTTTTAGTTATCTCGCCTGTATTATCTCATTAACTACTGAGTGTAACACCTCGTTCTGCCTGTGTGTGTATTGCTCAATGAGCTGTTAGTATATTACTCTGTCTGTCTTCGTTTATTCCGTTTGCGTTTCCACCCTCCCCGCTAAAGTTTTGTTTTCTCCATTGCTAAGACATTTGGTCCTTCTGCAGCCCTTCCCTCTACTCAGGCAAAGAAAACAAATACATGAGAGAGTTGCTGCAGCCTCTCTTCCCTCGGATCAACAAGTTCTAAGCATACACAAAAACATATATATAGTATATATGTGTGCATGCACACCCCACACATAAAATAAACACAGATACACGTACATACGTATGCATTTATATATAAGTATGTATACATGTATGTTGATGCATATGTATAGATGTTTTCGTGAGGGACGTTAATTGACTTCTGTTTATGTGCAAGCACATGCACCTAAATCCGAGACCCTTAAATAGAGCCTTTGGAGGACGACTTTTGCAGGGAGACACCGGTAAGGCTGCCTGCTCTTGTTTGCATTACGGGCGGGGGCACGTACACCCCGAAGTCTTGGGAGTTGATTCCATTGTTCTTATAAGCAGCTCCATACAAAGATGACGCTTCTGATGAGCCTGCTGCAGTTGTACTATTTCCTGTTGTGGGCGGTACTGCTGCAGCCGAAGCAGAGCCTCTTCTGAGGGAGTCCTGCGGCGACGGGCCCAAGGCCGGCGTTGTGGTCCACCTAATGACAGTGCCTTGCTTATATTCTGGTGCTGCTCCTTCTGCTGCTGATGATGCATGCGAGATGCTGCTGGTGCTGCTGCGCAGGGAACCAGGGACCTGCAAGCAAATCCCCAAGTCGTAGTACTTTCCTTCAGCGGTGGTATCTGGGGACGTGCTCGCGGGCAGCAAACGTGGCAGCAGCAGGCTGAAACACAAACACGGACACAAAAAAAGAATAAACAGAAAAGCAATTTAGCAACAATTAATAAGAAAAAGCAAAACGATAATAGTCCGCACAGGAGCACAAGGGCAAGCTCAGTAGCAACAGCAGCAGCAGCAGTATTAGCAGAAACAGCTATGCAACACACGCACCGAAAGAGTAAAGCAGCAACAGCAAGTGCTGCAGCAATAAACGCCAACCGGCGAGCAATAGTTGGCTGTACACCCCACCAGGCTCCAGCAAGCAGTAAAAAAGTAGCAGCTGCTGCCGCAAGTGCAGCAACAATCACCCGAGTCCACAGCGGCTGCAGCAAACACACAGATGCATAAAGATGTGTAGCACTAGAATAATAAAGGCAAACATAATTATATATGTGATTTGCCTCTTTGAACGTATGCGAGAAAAGGAATATTCATAGCGGGCTTACAAAGTGTTTGGAGTTGGTCTGAGTTGTTGTTGCTGTTGGTTCTGCAGCTGCTGCTTCTTCCGAGCCACATCCGTCGAAAGAGACAAAGAGAAGAAAGAAAGAGAAAAATAACACAAGACGCCAAGTCCAAACAAAAGAATAAGGAAAGCCTAAATCCTGTAATCGATGCTCTATCAGCCGCTGCGGCTCATAGTCCCCCTCGGCAGCGATTGTTAGAGGGTGGCCCTGCAAACCGAAAAAAAAAAAAAACAAAAAATATTTATGTACTGGTGCAATACAAAAATATGATAAAAGCGAAACAGGTGCGCATCATCTAATGGGAGGCAATACGCAGCTGTATAGAGGGCGCAGACGTTAGCATTGGCTGCTTTATGGCTTCAAGTAAAGAAATGGCTGCCGGAAGAATATGCATGAGGAAAGGAGACAGAGAGCATTAATGGAACAAAACCACAAGGATTTTCTGACCTATTTGATTTGGTGCTTGCAACAAACCAAATAGAACAGAAGATCTGTGTTTGTCCGGCTTGGATTGGCTTAAGTTTGTGTGTATGTGCAGCTGCCAGCAGCCTCCGAAGGCAGAGCGATAGTGGAATGTTTGCACATATGCCCAGTACCTCTTTTAGCTCCGCAGCAGCCGCTGCTGCAATAGCTCTTGCTGATCCAAAGAAGGGTTTTGTTTGTTTGCCTATAAGGGAGATGTGGGAGGAAGCATTGGCCCAGAAAGAGACACGAATGTCTCCTATCTGCGGTTTAAAGGGACTTCCAGTGTAAAGAAAGTTGTTATGAACCAGAGTGGTTTCCGCGTCTATCTTCCGAGGCGGCCTCTGCTCTTGCTGTCTGTACACCCCATCGTCCTGCAGCGGCAGCTGTTGTTTCTTTCGGAAAAAGACAGCAAACTCCCCTGGTAGTGTAAAGCCGCCCGCCTTTAAACCAGAAGCCAACTGCAGCATCAACACAACAAGTAGCAGCAGCGGCACGGCAATGATGGGACAGCGAGTTCTGCAACGGCATCTTGCTTATGCAAATACGGGGAAAATCTTTTAAGCAAGACTCTGAACCACAAGAACAAGAACTAGTTTAATGATGAGAACAAAAATTTATCTTCTGTATACAATACACCACGAAAACAAATACACAATACGCCTATCTACAATCTTGGGACTTGGTATTATCCGCTTGCCTGGCGGCCTATTCCAGGCACATGCGGGAAGAAATCGGGGTTTCGCAAACCGTCAACGAGACTCCAGAGAGACCCAGGTACCTGCATTTATGGTGCATACACCACAACGTGCATACAGTGCAGTGTACGAACACACCTTGTCACTGGGGAAAAGACTGATGAGCCTGGTCGCCAGCGATCATAAATACTAAACATCAAACCCTAATACACAAACACTTGCCCAGCTCCTATACCCCAAACGTTCATACGCGCCCGTACTCACGAGATGGTCTACCCATTTCGGGTGCCTGCGCCCTAACAAGTCCGGTAGCTGCGGATACTGATACATCTCCGCTTTGACTTCAAAAAACACTCCTTGGAAAGGGTTTATATTTTTGTAAAAGTTTTCGGGGGGGTAGAATGTGGAGGAATTACGGATGGGGCACTCGAGGTGTACATACACCCCGTCATTCTGTGGGCTAGGCACACAAGAAGCAGGGGTTAGTTCCGACAGAATAGGAGACAGCTTGCGCATTTCTCTAGCGAAACGTCTCTCCTTCAGAAGAGCAAACAAAGAAGACAGAAGAACTGCCCCTAGCATCAGCAACAATGCACGACGCTGGGTCGCCGGCTTTAAGTTGCAGCAGCCGCATACCACCATCGTTAAAGTGCATGCACAGGCTGATACTCCAAAAGAAGCAAAAGAAGAAAAGAAGGAGAGGGTTGCTCGTTTGTGTGTCTCCCCGTTAGCAGTCACGGGGTAGAAGCCCGCGATAGATCTTTGTCGTCCTTCTGCTGAGAATCACTGTGAACATAAAGAACCCCAAGGACAAAAAAACTACAGCTTCTTTATTCTCCCCAACCTATACACAGATTCAGGTGTAGGGGCACCTCCAAGCCCAGGCTCATCGGCACAGCAAGCGTCCTGGGGCCCTTCTCCTGTCTTTTCAAGCGCTTCCTTTTGCCCCCGTTCCTTCAAAGAACAACGAAATCTCTTGGATTATGAAAAGGTTTTAAATACAAAACAGAAGGTTAAAACCCAAGGGGAGCAGCAGCAGAACCGTCGCCTTCAGCAGATGGTCGGTCTGGTGTTCTGTTGAATGGCTGCATTGGCTGCCTCTGAGTCAGTGTGCCCCTTTCCTGGATATCTTTGCCTTTAAAGCCGAGAAAACACTTGAACTATTCCAATTTGCGGCACAACCAAACAATTAAAACTAAATAAAACACAGGAAACTGTGTTACACTGTGTGATCAAACACTGGACACTCAATCGACGACAGCCGAGCAGACAGACCGCTGCCGCCGCATGCCTGCTGAACTCTGTGTGAGGCGGAAACCCAAAACATTCCCCATTTTCTAGTTTTTCTGCACTGAAAATTTAAGTTTTTTATTTTAAAACAAAGCATTGGTGAAAACTGCATTTATCCAGAACCGTCTACCAACTGCATGCCACCTCCTCCTAGTCGTCTGCGCCTCGGAACACGCTATCGGTAGCCCCAGGGTTAAACAAAAAGTTGATTATATTTCTCCATCTTGTCTACTGTATAAGGCAAAATGTGCAAAGAAAAAGGAAATCAACGGGGATCAGAGACATGGAAGTGTCTCCTACACAGCACCCAAATGCCTAGGTTTACAGATGCCACACAATGACCAACGTTCGTCCGTTCGCTCTGCGTATATAAAGTTCAATTCGCGCATCTATTACATCGTTGTTCATTTGCATTTCTCCGTCGGTGACGACTCTGTTACCTCCACCTCTGCCACGCATCTTGACCAGACTCTGCCAATCTGGTGAAATACTGACTCTATGCCTGTCGTTGTCCTCTACTACGTCCAGTTCTGTTTTCTTAGCTAGGTTTTATTTTTTCGCTCAGCTGCTGCTGTTCCAGGTTTCTGACACTGCATTTCCTCTTCGTGCATGCAGCCCCATGCCACACTCCAATCTGTTACTTCTTGCCTCGCCTCCCCTCGACTTCGTCTGCTGACGTTTGTCTCCTGGTCCCCTCAGCACGATAGCAGAACAAGCAGTCACAGAATGGGAACAACAACAACTATACAAAGCAACCACACCAAAACCGCCGAGCTTGTGTAGAAAAATGCCAAAAAAGGCAGGTCCCAGCGCTTAGTCCGGGTATTGTCCGGGTATGAAAGAAACACAATAGTAAAAATGGGACTAAGACAAAAGCACCTAACGTGGGAAAAGTACACTTGGAACTGAATGAGGACAATGGCTTTTAGCAATCATAATGCCTCCAGTTGGATCAGCCTGAAGAATGGCACCAACCCGCGGCGCCGCAGCAGTGCTGCCTCCGCGCCATTCAGAACTACAGAAATAGCAACACCACCAACAAGCAGTCTGACCTTCGAGTAATAGCAACGGCAGCAGTAACAGGAACAAAAACATGCCGTGGGACCAAACGGCGGCGGCGGCAGCAGCAGCAGCTACAGTGCAAACGCACAACAGGACCCGTTTGCAACTCTTGCTGCAGAAAAAACATCGTCAGCAAGAATGGCAGCAGCAACAAGAGCGGCAGCGAACATAAGACCTATTAACAGCAGCTGTAGCAGGATTAGCAACAGCAGCAACAGCTGCAGCATCAAAGAGCTGGAGCGCCAGCAGCAGCAGTAGCCACCACCCACGAAGGACAATAATTAAAAAAATTTGTTGCTGCGGGGCAGCTTCCAGTTACTGGTCACTTCTACTGCAGGTTACACATACAAAACTCCTTGACCAGTTGCTTTCTCCTTCCACGTCCGAATCAACTTTCGGCCTGTCGGTACACCTAAAATATATAAAAAATGGGACATTGCAACAGACATGAACATTCCGACTGTTGCTGAAACTGCTGCTGCTGCCGCTGCGGCGTCTATTGTTGCCGCTACACCATAATGTCTACAAAATGGAATGCATTCACCTTAAATCCTTAACTCTAAATCCCAAGTCCTCTAGAGAGAGAAAACAATCCCGCGCAAAGCTATAGGCTGCCTTATTTGCGGGCGATAGACCTGATTTATGCGTTGTCGCTGCTGACTGTTGCTGCTGTGGCTGCTGCTCCTCTTGCTTTTTCGGTTACTGTTGCTGTGTTATTGATTCTGTTGCGTGTGCGCTTGCTGCTGCTGTTTTTGGGGCCCTTGCTGTTGATGGAGCTCGGGCTCTTAGTGCTGCTACTAGGGTTCTTGATATTCTTGCAGCTACTGCTCTTGTTGGGTCAGTTACAGTCCAGCTATGTCTTGGCGTCTGTTTCTATAGTTTGCGGTGGAGGGAGAAATTTCGACGTGGGTCTGAAGGCGCTAATGGAACTGCGGCTGCTGCTGCTGCTGCTGCACCTAGCAGCAGCCGCAGGTACTCTAAACGCCGTTGGCTGTGAGTTCTGCTGTACGTACAGCTGACTGTCAAACAATCGAAAGCTGCGGCTGCTGCTGTCTGAAAAGGAAGCTGTCGAACCCCTCCTGCTGTTGCTTGCTGCTGTAGCAACAGGAGCAGCCGCAGAAGGATCAGCAGCAGATGCAGCAGAAGCAGTAGTTGGGCAGCTGCTGCTGGTGCGTTCTACAGCTCCCCTGCTGAAGAAACAGACGCCCCACATGGATACTAACAATAGAATGACCCCAGAAATAACAACCCACAAGGGCCAGCGGCTTGCAGCCTCCGCGTTTGGCATTGCGTTCTGCTCCCCATCATTCAGCGCAGCTGCTGCTGCATTGCCAGCAGCACTTTGCCTCTGTCTTTCTAAAACTGCCGCCGCCGCCGCAGCAGCAGCAGCTGCTGTTGCTGCTGTTGCTTCAAGTTCCTCGTGGCTGAGCTGAAGCCGCCCTGGGGGGCTAAGGTAGGATATGGGTCCCCTCGGAGCAACGCCGACAAATTCCGCAGCAGAGGAAAGATTATGATGCGATCGTGAGGTTGCTAATACGGGAGATGCCCCTGGCGAACCTGTTGCTGCCTGTACCTCTGCTGTTGCTGCTATTGCACCTGGTGCAGCGGCAGCTAAGGAAGGTGCTGAAGAGGAGAGGTACGGTTGGCGGGGAGCAGCTGCACCAGCTCTGCCTTCCTCCGCAGTAGGTCCACTGCCTTCCGATGGAGCAACAGCAGCACCAGCACGCTTGTTACTGAGTCGTTGGCGTACACCGGAGCTTTTCACTTGGGAATAAGATGGAGACGGCCGCTGCAACTTGACACGGGGAGATATATGCTCAGGCCCCTTAGGGGAGTTAGGGTGAGGGGATTCAGAGAGAGAGTCTGCCATATGCTTCTGTTTGGAGAGGCCCCCGTACCCCTCAGTCAAGACACTGGCTCCCAACATCGAAATGAACAAGAAGAGAGGCAGCAGCAGCAGCAGCAAGAGAGTAGCACGCGCTACTACCCGAAAGCTGCGGCTAAAGAGGTGAAAGGACCCGCCGTATACGAGGGGGGGACCGCCTCCCTTAAGCTCTCCTACAGCAGCACACATGGCGCAGAAGCCGCAGCGTGGTTGATGCTGCTGCTGTTTTGCTGTGCTGCCGACTGTGTTGCTGCACTCTTGCTGGTGGTGCTGACGCTGCTACGGTGGTCCTGCTGCTGCACCTGCGGCTCCTCCTGCAGTTGTCGTGCTCCCGTTGCTGCCTTCCCGCAGCTTTAGTGCCTCTAGATCTGCTATCTTGCCGGTGCTACTCCTGCAGCTGCAGCTGCCGTGTTCTAATTAATGCTTGTTGCCTTCTAGAGAGGGGAGGCGGCAGCAGGAGGCAGCCAAAAAATCCTCTTCGGCCGTACACACGGCATCTAAAACGCTTAAGACGAATCTAAGGGGCTCTAGAAAAAAGCAGACAAATAAACAGTCCCATTAAGTATGGAGCTTGGGGATCTATTAAAAAGACCTCCACTAAGGGCCTCTATCAGCTTCCGGTGCAGAAGCGGGATGGAGGAGGCGGCCCTTGGGTGTAGGGGAGCTGAATTTTCTAATGAAGAACAGAACTAAATAAAGTAGCTGAAAATAGACTACACAGGATGCAACAAAAAGACTTAGGGAGGGGACACACCGGAAGCCGCATCGAAACATATCCCACCCTACTCCGATGCTGGCAGCACCGCCGGTCTGCTGCTGACGATGCGCAGAAGCAACAACAGGAAAACCTGGCTTTCCTGCATCTAAAAAATATATTATTTGGTGGAAAATTCGTTTATATGACGATAGTTGCATTTGATCCCCTAGAACGTTCAAAAACGGCAAGACACAGAGACCTTTTTCCATTCTTCCTGTGCAGTAGCAGGAACAGCAGTGCGAAGCACCAACAGCAGCAGAAGCAAGCTTCTCTTCATGTTTCTTACTCTGCTAAAAGATATTACTAATTTAGTGCATGCAGCGGACATAATTAATAATCAAACAATTGTGGCGGAGCACTTCGTGGACGTATCATCTCCAGAGGATCTCCAGGGGAGTTCACTTATTGGAAATGCAGGAACGGAAGCATAATATAGAGTAGACAAAAGTCCACATATCCCTATATGTATGTTAAAACAGCCTAATTCGTGTAGATATGCAGACTGCCTGGCTACAGGTGCACCAGTGGGGGTTTAAGAAAGATAGAAACTAGTAGGGGATCGAATTTCACTTAGAAGTAGTATAAACTAGGAGTAGTTAAGGTACAATAACTCCTATAAATAGTAAAGGTACTCCAGTTTTACTTGGGATAGCTTTTAGAATAGCGCAGACAATACAGGTTAGTAACTGCTTTTCTTCCTCCACACGTGTAGCTCTACAACGCTGTAACTCTAATGCTCCCTCCTCCAGTAGAACCCCTCGGCTCACTGTTCGAGGCGTACAAAGAGATGCACACGTGCAACATTCCTGTCTACTTGTTTATTTCCATTGCTTGCCCCTTATTTCATTCTCCCCCTATTCTTTATATATTTTCCCGTACCCCCTGTAGTTCTGCCCTTTAGACCCCAGCTGGATGCTGTTGGAGACAGGAGACAGACAATTGCTCTCCGCTTGACTGAATCGATTGCCTTGACTTGCTAGATAAGTTGAGCAGATAACCTTTATATCTCAGGTGCAAACGATGTTTAGTCAGCACGCAGCTGCCTCTCTCTTAGGGGCCAAGACTGACTGCTATCTCTCAGATGTCAACGAAAGATGCCGCATATTCACATGAAAATTTTACGCAAGCATTGGTAAGCTTAGCAAACGATCCGTTGACAGCGGCAGGTGTCATCCCCTGATATGTATGTACACCTAATGGGCTGTTCACTACACCTCCTGGACAGGAGCATCCAACTTTCCCCAACCCCCCCGAAAATAGTCAAAACAATTGATATAATATGTTGTGGGCAGTCTCATAAGGAAAACGCACACGGAAGAGCAGCTGCTCTTCCATACTGTCCTTACAGTGTGCACGTAGGGAATCTGGCTTATCGGCTGGCTAGATAGTGATTATCGTATTTACTGTACTAATTTTTCTGCTAAGTAGGCATCAATCTCATGTTCACTTCATTATTTGGCGTGCACGCTCAGGTCCCTCGAAGAACCAGAGCCCTCCTGTCCTACTAGCATCCTCCTACGCCAATGAAGGCTTTGGCTCGTGGGCTTGGGGTTTCCTCTAACACTCTACAACGCTGTAACGGATGGAATGAACCTCCATTGTTCCTCATCTGAGAGCTGAGGTTCAGGGTCTTGTGTTTTATGTCTGCCACTTAGGTGCTGCACCTGACAAGCAGTGCATACCCGTACGTCGTTGTCCTCCGGTCCTCCTACAGCATGCCACCTACAACCCCACACCCCAAACTATTAACCCTTAGCTCCATTAAACTGACTGCACAGTGTAGGGCCTGCGCACACAAAACCTCACAGGCGTTTACATGCAAAGCTCTGTGTACACAAATATGCATCCCAAAGTCCATCCTGCTGTTACCTCGGGCTGTAGAAATACCACAGGGTAAGACACAAAACACATGCACGCAGCAAAGACAAACCAGAGCACATATCGGTGTGTTGCCACCCACATTCTTCAGCGGCTCCGTACACACGATGCATTCCACATCGCGCAGAATACAAGACTTAATGTATATGACGGGATACATAGTACCTAATGCATCTTGCAAGACACATCGAAACCGAAACACAACGCAATAGAACACCGTGCATTATCGTAAAACTCCATGGCAGGCAAAACATACGCAGAATGCATTTAGTAGGAGACATCGTGCACGCTGCACTGTAAACAATATATAAGCTTTTCACTGCCCAGCCCAAGGAATGCTAATTACCTGCAGTTTCCCGTCTATTCTCAAATATTTACTAGATAGTCAAGTGATATGCTTCCTCTTCTTTCTCATCTTCTGTATCTCCTGATTGTGACTCAAAAGAGTCTTCCTCCTCCTCCTGTCTTCCGCTGTGCCTGTGTCTGCTTCGGCGGGAGTTAAGGCTCCTCGTACTGAATGAGGACTCTTGATCTATCAGAGAAGAGAACTCTTCCTTCACGCTCTTCGAGACGGAAGCCCTCCTAGTCTTTACCCATGACAGACCACCCCATACCAGCAACGACAGCAACAGCAAGCCAATGACTGCCCCCACCACAGCAAACACAACCGTCCACTTGCTGCCTTGGGAGGCCCGCCCTTCTCCCTGTACCCTGCTGCTGCTCCTGCTGCTGCTGCTCTTGCTGCTGCTTACGCACAGCGCCTCGCCTCCCCACCGCTGCAGCACAAAGCCGACCCTGCACGTGCACAGAAAGCGGCCTCTGACGGGCCCGTCGCAGGTCAGCTGCCCCTCACCACAGGGTAAGTCGGCACAAGTCAAAGGGGCCGCTTGAGTTGTATTCTTTCTCGACTTTTCACCTCCTCCCGCTGTTTCTCCCGTCTGTACTGCTGCGGCTCCTCCTGCTGCTGTTGCTGGTCCCCCTCCATCACTCATGCCAAGCGGACGCCCAACAAGCAACGCTGTCTCCGAATGTCCCTGGGGATCCTCGCTCTGCCTCTTACCCACCAACGAGCTCTCAGGTGTAAAAGATACTGAAGAAGTCTCTGCCGTCGCACCCACACCCTGTGTAGGCTCGTCAGAAACCACAGGGGGAGCAAAATAATACACCGCCGACGGTGCTGGTCCCTTCACCGGGTCTAACTGTTTTGGTATTGCTACCGCCCCACTACTACCTCCTTCTGTTGCTTCGGATGTGCTTCTTAAAGAATCGTCGGCAAATCTCCCTGCGGAAAACGCAAGTTTGCCGTCAGACGCCATCCCTGATATTTGCGTGGGATGACGCCTCAAGGGCACTGCCCTGGCGTTGCTGCTGCCTTTGTTGCCGCTGATCTTGCTGCCGTTTCCAAGTGAGTTTCGCTTGGTTCTATCCCACTTTCCCTCGCTATCCGTGGCTTGCGGCTTCCCCCGTACTGCCGTAGCACCACTCACCGCCAAAACATCGGAGGATGCTTCCGTTGCATTGGGGTGCCCTGGTGCCTGTACACTGGTCTCTAGATGTCCATCTATCTCATGTGTACTGGGAGAAGAGTTAGAGGGGTGGTGAAGGTGTACGAGACAGGACAGAAGCAGCAAAAAGCAGAGACCGAGGCGCCTCATCGCCCTCCCTGGAGAAGGACGGGACGGAAAACGTGTAGCTCCAGACGGGAGGCTTCACAGGAATTTGACCCACCGACTGAGGCAAAAGCAGAAGATGAAACCGACGGCTTCCAACTAACACGAAGCTGCTTAAAGTAGAGATAGGGAGCCCACTGCCGCTCGCCTCAGTGGAGAGTCATCAATGAAACGTCTATGTATACAATCTATAGTTACAGCAACTTCATGTGGTTGCACCAACAACTACAAGGAAGACAAAATACTATATTTACCAGTAGTTGTGTTTCAAAGCATGCTACAACACGACAGCAGCAGAGCTCTAGAGCTCCCCCATCTGCACACGCAGGCGCTGCAACACCGACAATACTCAGCGTGCACCAGAGGAGGAGAGCCAGTTATTAATGTTAAAAACTAAACAGAAGAAATTAATGAGGCAAAAGACCAGCTGTGAGAAAGTGAGAGTCTGTGGAAACTAGACACCGAGCACCAGTTCTCCTCCGCCGAACGACAGAGGGGAGCGCCAGAGAAAAAGTGTCCAGTGGTTGGGGTGCGGTTGCTAACTGTCCATTCATTTGCAGTCTTTTTCCCTAGTTTCACACATGTGCTGGTGAATCACATTAAAGGAAGTAAGCGTCAAGGCAGCACCAGTTAGAGGACGTAACAAAGAAAAACAAAGCTGGAAGACCGCTGGTCCTCCCCCTTATCGAAGCTCCTACTTACTTGAGGCAGCAGCGAGCTACTGGAGATAATGGAGACAACCGGGTGTAAATATGTACAAATGACTGTTTTGGTCATAACTTTATGTTTATCATAAATTATAGCTTACCTGCAACTACATTGCTAGCCTACCGTCGTATAATCCACTTTCTTAGTAGTACACTTAGTGCATCCTACTAGTTCTTCTTCACCCTAGTTCTAAAAATAGTAATGATATTCTTTCAACTCTTAAATAAGAAGAAGGGAACTGCTGACGATGTGGACAGGGCAAAACAAATGATAAGACTACCCATAATTAGCCAGAAGGTGTCCTTGCTGTCGTTTGACGATACATTTAGATACATTTCGTCACGACCTAGAGTAACTACAACCGAGCACCACATAACTATCCAATTAAGTTAAAACCTTTAACGATTTAATGTTTATTCAGACATTTTGAGTCCCAGGGCAAAAATCTACTGCAGTATGGGCTGCTTCTTCTGTGGAAACAATTATGCACTACATTCTGGCAACCTGGGGTGCAGTACTATCCTACATACGACGAACGCCTACCATGTTTCTGAACAGGAAATAATTCGAAATAGAAAATATTAGATGTGCTTTGCGAATATTTGCATGGGCCTGCTCGAAGGCGAGCAGGAGCAGAAGCCTCAAGCCCAGAGATATACTTTTGGTTTCTCTGACTGACAGAGCCGGAATCACAATTTGCTAGTCTTTTTTGCAGTATATATAGTATATATACCATACATTTACACGTCTATATTCACATATATATTATAGTGGGCGACAGGTTAACTGTTAGACGAAGTTTGCGTGCAAACTCTGGCAGTTACTAGGCTGTCGACATCCGAGTTTTTGTCAGCGGCTGAAGTTCTGAACATGATGTTTACCATTAACGGGTGTACATATGTTTGCTTTTCACTTATTTTGGTCCGTGCAGACACGTGGTTTGTTATGCATTATGTTGCCTACCCTGTTTCACTAATTTAGTTCGGGTTCAACTCCGGAGATATGTTTGACATTCAACAGCTCAGCACTTCTTCCAAGAAAATTGTCTCTCTCAGTGATTATGGGCTTCCTGCATGAGACCAATATTCGTTCAACTCACATGTCAGCGGACTGTCCCACGGCAAGTCCCTCTTTTTCCTTTTCCTCATGTTCACAGTGCAGGAGCAGATTCGACCAAAGAAAGTAGCAAATACACAATGATACTTTTGTATTGAGCCACAAAAGGCAGTCCACCAGGTAGGATGTGAAATCTATCATGTGGCGGTGTAACCCCCCGTACAAGAGGACCGCGTGGGCTCTTATATCAAACAGGCTGCCCGAAGTTGAGGCCCTACGCAAAGGCCGACATGGGAGAGGAAGCGGCAACTAGCCAGTAGACTGCTGTTTTCTGGGAGGTGTAGGAGAGTTTCTGACGATAAGGAATTGACATATTTCTGGGTTTTAGGCTATAAGGAAGAAGGCGTGTCCCTTCAGTGGGGAAGGATTTGCCGAACCCACTTCAACGGCCAGATCGCCGGGACTGTGTGAATTTTCCATTCCTGGCTGAGCCGTTGAAATTGGGTGAAACGGCCATTGAGGGCACTAAAATACAAATATTTAGTAATTTCAATACGTTCCGGTATATTTTAGACGCGCAGTTCACAACATGCGATCGGTCTTCCACTCTTGCAGTCATGGGAGGTGACCTCCGGAGCGGGTCAGGAATGCAGTAGTTTTTGTGTAACCAAGTCAATCATTAAAAGAAAAAGTGTCGACGTAAGATGCGTGCTGCTTTTAATTTGTTTTGCGGATGTAAATTGGAGAAAATTAAAATTGAATGGCACTGGAAACCGCAGTGTTCAGGGCGCTCTTTGGTCGTAGTTGGCATTGCATGCGGCAATCAAAAGGGGCTATTGAAGGCGCTTTCTGCATTTAAACCCCCAAATTCGTTGGAATATTTTGGAAAACAATATAAGATATATAGTTCCGGGTTCGCGCGTCGACAAATCTTAGAAAGGAGTCTCTATCGACAGACAAGCAAGACACGCAGAGGAAGCTGCTCACTTTTGGCTTCGCAGCCTACGGCTTGCGCGCGTCAGTACCTCTTTCCAGTTCATCTTCAGATACATATACAGCATACTTACAAGTGGTCTCTCGTTAACAGTCCAGATTCCTCGGGTCTGTTCCAGCCCCTCAACCGTCGGTCACCTACCGCGGGATCGCGAAGCACCCTCTTCGCTTTGCAGCAGGATGATGCATTTGTTTGGAATGCTCGAACCTCTGGAACTCTGACGTGCTGCAAATTCTAGCAGCTAATTCTGTTGGTGATAGAGCGATCTCCTCAAGCGGCTCTTTGGCCCATTCCGTGGGGAGAGGGATCTGTGCAAAATTGCCTACGGTTTCCTCAATTACACTCTTCTTCAGGCTGTCTGGATAGCTTCGATCCTACTTTTCCCCCGAGGTTCTCAATTGATGCCTCTGGGGTGATAACAGACTTTTTTGCCTGATGCAATACCCCTAGCAGAAGAACTGCTGGCGATGCAGAAGCCAACCGCCGCCCCAGTGAAAGCCATGGGGTCTTTCTTTCAGACCCAACACACTCTACAGGTACACTGGAGTCGGATGTGTCCTGTGTTTGTAGCACAAGGGGCTGTGTGGAGGAATGCATCTCACAAGATGTTAAGCGCTTGCCTAAATGGACGCCACACGCTGGTGACTTTCTGTACACTGTTCGCAACAGCAAACACTGTCTCTGGAATGAATTAATACATACATAGAATGTGGTATCTCATGGCAGCTGCTGCATTACGTTGACTGCACAGCCTCTCCTCAACGCGCAACGGCCTCTGTCCAAGGATGCGCCTTTCATGTTTGCCTCGGGGCAAAGGACAACAGCGGCAGCGGCACAGACTGCAGAGGCCGCCGCTGCAGCAGCGGAAGCGATAAAGTCTGTGTTAGCTTCGGGAGGTTGCTCTTCAGCTGCAGACCCCAACAACGGGGTTACTCCCCTCTCGGCTGAGGGCGCTCACTTAATGTTAGCAGTTCAGAGAAGCGACAGGGCCACCGTAAATCGGCTGCTACGTTCTGCTGGGGTTGCCTCAAGCTTCTTTATAGCGGATGCAAAGGGACCTGAGTTTAGAACACCGTTGAGGCAAGATTGCAACTTGACACGAATCTCCCCTGGGGAGCTCGTATAGCGCAAGATGAGCTTCTCCCTACCCGATCCGCACAGAGCGGTACTGGTGGTCTGCGCAGCTTTTTTTGCTGTCATCTTTCCTCAAGTGTTGCTGCATTCCGCCAGTTGCTGTTGCTTTGTGCACCAGACCAGTTGGCTGCTGCTGAATTCAACGTTCTGCTGGCTCCGCTGCCTGTTTCTTGCTGGCGCAGACTAGCAGCAGCTGTTGCCTCAACCGATATCATCGAAGACCTCATTAGTTATGGCGCTGCTGCTGCAGAGTTTGTGGAACTCGACGGCTGGACAGCTTTCCATGTGAGCCATCACATATATGCACGCAGACACAGATTATGTAGGTGTTCATTTATTATTTGTACACAGATTGAAGTTACAGTTGCTTGCAATTAGTATACAAGTGAGTCATTATCGCCGCCTCCTAATTCTTTTGGGGCTGAGGGGCCAAACGTGGATTCCCTAGCACTTCGCTGTACTAAGAATGTAGATGCGGTGCAGCAGCGTTTGCGATGGCAGCTGAACAGAGAGAGTTCTTATGGTCTTACATAATGCCTCCAAGAGAGCTCTGCCGAGGCAAACAGGCCCTGCGGCTGCAAGGGGCAGCAGAAGTGCATATTGAAGCAACTGCAGCAGCTGCTGATAGTGTGTACATTACGTGCTTGCTGTTCTGCAATGAAGGTGAGGGCTACCTGTGAAGGTGTGTGAGGGGCGCCGCTAGGTGATTTGTGTGGACAGTGCGCCGCTGCCGCAGGACGGGAAAGAGTGTTTCTGCTGCTGTTAGACCTATGTCCAGAGGAGGCTGCTGCTGCGGCTGCTGGCAGCAGCCTGCTACACCTCCTCGCAGAATGCTGCGGCAGCAGCAAGGCAACGGAGGCTGCACTGAAAGCTGCTGCCCTGCGGCAGCAAGTCGACGCAAAGGCAAAAAGGCAGGGCTTCGAGGGCTGGACGCCTCTCGTAGGGACTTTCCTGTTTCCAATTTGCTTTTGATTCCATACTTCAATAAATTCATTTGCATGTGTGTATATACAAGACTCGGTGCACAGCTGTGGTGAGTATACAACAGAGTGTGCAACTGCACGCCAAAGTGGCAACCGTTGTGTGATGGTTTGGGATTGTTGCAGCACATTTCCTGTCTCCGGGGAAAGCAACGGATGGCTCGGATTCTGCTGCAAGCAGGGGCAGATGCTTCTATAGTGACAGGCGCATTTGATGCATCGTCTCCTTTCCTCAAGGCTGCAGCAACCGGTGCTGTGTGTAGCATGCTGCGCATAGATACAAGCGCGTTATTGGAACAGAGCAAAACCAACGCTCAACCTGTGCTACAACTCCAGGAGCCGGAGCAGCAGGAAGACAGCCTCATTCCCCCTTCTGGGAAGGATTCCGGTCTCTTGCCTATCCACTTGAGTTGCTTCGGGTAGATGGAAAGTAATGAATATTAAGCTATTTGTTCTGATGCTGGCGCGTCTTGCTCATCATTTTGTGCAATACGTCTTAAACAGCCCTGTGGCGCCAGGGGGATGATTGCGTCAGTAGTAAGCTAGATTCCGTTACAACGTCCCTGGACATATCCCAATTTTTGGGGTCTCGCTCTGCGTGTCAGGGCGCACCGAGGTCTAACACGCTTGCTGCTTCATGTTGGGAGTCGCATTGACGCTCTGACTGGACGGCTGCGATGGACTCCTTTGCACTTCGCGACTGCCAGTGGCTCGGTGGCATTAGTAGGAGATATATGCCGGTGGTCAGCGGGAAAGCTTGTGAACATGAAAGACGAAGGTCGACCGCTGCAACGAACGCCCCTCATTATCGCATGCGCCAGACAGGCAAGAGTGTCACAAGTTTATGCTGCACGATGCAGCATTGTACACCTCAATTATCAGCTGCAGGCCGCTCAATTAAGTGATCAACAGCGCTCGTCCCAGTTATACAGCGGCCACTTAGAGTGGAGAGAGGCCTTTTAAGGGACAGGAAGCCCCAAGGTGCACCGAGGCTTCACATTCTGCACACTCTCCAACCAAATGCTTTGATGCTGAGTTAGTTGTATGGAAGCATTATGCAGTGAACAACTTCACTGCATCACGCACTACAGAGTGCTCTAGGTGTCTGCTCAGGACTTGGAAACTGTAAAGGTTCTGCTGGCCTTTGGCGCAAATCCCCTCAAATCAGTCCGATTTGCTGGGATGCGAGCAGCTTGTGAGCGGGTGTTGCCTGTGAATCTAACGGAGTATTTTACCCTCCATCCAGAAAGCAGATTATTAAACAGGGATGCGTGAAACCGCGCACCTATGCACATGCGATAGCTCCTTGTAGAAAGAGTTCCATCACTGTTAGCATTTGCCACTTCTCACCGAGCACCTTGGGCTTACGAAGGGTCACTACGCCTGTGCGTCTGGGTTAAAGGTAAAAGGATGGTTCCCGATATTTGTTGATAAGATATGGCAGCATAAATATAAAGCCTGCAGAAGGTGCTCATGTGGTGAATTGCTTAGGTCTGGGGGAACTGGCTGCACAGGCAGAGGAGCAAGAAGAGCAGGTCACTCCTCTCCACATCGCCGTATTGGGAGTGAGCCCGGGTTGTATGACACCTGCATTTCATCGTTTCTTTGTTCATTGTGGCACGATGAGAGTGTTCGATCAGTTGCATATTCTACATGCTTGCACAGCAAAGGCGGGAAGAGACAGAGTTGCTTTACGTTCGGTTTCTTTGTGTTTCTGTCATTCACGGAGCAGTTTTCGTTTTTTGCAAACAGGTTCAGTTGTGAACCATTTGGTAGTTATGCGCTCTAAGCTGAAGAGTGTAGGAGCTCCGTTTTCTTTTTGGTAGAGTAGACTTACAGGCTTGCAGTTTTGCTTGTATCACGCGGTGCGGGAAAATACTTTCCTTGACGCGGCTAGAATGATAGCGCTAATAAACAGTTCTTTTTACAGGTTTGCATATACCGAGATGTTGTTTCGCTTCACAGGGTTGTCCCGAGTTTGTGGTATCTATTTTGCAAGTATTTAAACATCACGTTGAAAGGTTCGGGACTAACGATTTTCAAAAGGGAACTGCCAAGGACGTCAGGGAACACAAGCGACAAATTTTCAGCGCACGAGATGCTGCAGCTCTGCAGACAATCATCACAGGAAAGCGATTAATGATACTTCTCTCATAAGCTAACAAGCAATCCACCTGGGAAATTGAGGATTGCTCTGAACCCCAAGTCATTAACCCTAGCCCCTAAACCATACAGTAAAACTTTGCAGTGTCTCAACCAGCTGACAACACTGATTAGATGTGGTTTGATGTGACAAGCTAAACGATGGAAGGTTACGCCACCTGATAACTGCTAAAAGACTGTTAATACACACATGTCATGGGCCCTAACAACAATGGCATCCTGACTCTATAGCGTCAGTAGTCGTTTGCCATGAGCTGCGGTATATTTGGCATCTACGAAACATTATGTAATAGGAACAATTGCTACGATTTGCAGGTGGCTGCGGGCAACCTCCAGTTGAAGTCCTCGACATGTTGGAAGGTGAGGTGTTTTTTGTTCAGTTTGTATAATAGTTTAAGTTTCTCTCTCCAAGTTTCATATTCAATACCATGTAAACCGGCAAGCAACTACCGTCTAAAGAACATTGCAGGAGAAGCGATTGCTTTTTTTCTCGCATCGTTACTAGCACCAGGATTGTGCTTTATTCCCATTGCCAGGGGCTCGGCGCCAGGCCGGCAAGGTGCGCGCTCCATCAACTGTTTTACTTGCGGGAACCGAAGATGGAGCGAAAGGAGGCAGGTGGAGTTCAGCGGCTTTAGCAGTGGCTCTGGCAACAAGTGCTGCGTGCTCAGGGTGCGGTTCAAAGAGACGAATGCCTCCAACCGCGTAGAGCAACTCAAATGAGCTTCCCAGCATTGTTTGAGTTTAGGGAAAGTGTAGGGTTTCAAGCCGAGTGTTTGGGCTTTTAGCGTCTGGGATCAACGCACACTGCCATACCAGAAAGCTTAGCATAAAAGGGAGCTTGCTGTGTGTACCCTACCGTTCCGCCAGGGATACGATCGGGAGACGAAGAATAATATGCGCAGCACTCATTGGCTTCGCTGCTGCAGAAGCCCCGGCGGAAATCGCAGCGGAGGCGTGCGGTCTGGAAAGGCTGTTGGCAGTTACCGATGAGCCGCTTGCCCTCAGAATCATAGAGGTGACTGCCATTTATTCTTGATTTCGCTGCATGTACGATTAGTTCAGCAAACATACGTAGAACAGGATACAGTAGTAGGCAGCAATGCAAGTTATACGGATAGATTAGTAGGCAGGAATAAGCATTATTTTGTTTACGAAGCAGATATGTATACCAAACGTGGCTGGCTGACGTGCGGGGTGGGGAACTGTATTTAATATGTAAGAACCGTCCACACAAGATATGGTACTTGGGTGCAAGTCTATAGCATTCGCAATGAAATTTGAAATTAATGACCAATTGTGCAGTCCGCCCCACACAGTCGCCTCCACAATACGGAACGGCAGGCAAAATGCCTTTTTTCCCTTATTGACGGAGGTTGACTTTTTGTTTTGGCGCGTGCGCTTTGCTCTTTCTGCCCAGGAATTGTCGCAAATTTGCTTATACCATCCAGAGAGTCAACGAGTGGAAGAGGGGAAGACGCAACATCTTCGCGTGCACGGAGCCTCTGTAGAGCAGCTGAGGGATCTGTTTTCAGTCATTTCCAGCAGATTCCTGCAGCACGCCGTGTTGCGCAACTTTTCAGGAGTCGTCCGCCGATTGCTGCAACTTGTGCGCCTGAGGAGAGGGTATCTAGCATTGGAATCGCCTTCTACTGCAGCTAACAAAAGGCTCGGGACAGCTCGAACTATATAGCCTAAGGGTGTGAACATTATTTTGTTTCTTTGTCAGGGAGTTTATGAGCAAAACGCAGCAGAAAAAGCACTTCATATAGCGGCGAGTTTGGGGTATGCACGAATATGTCAACTGCTGGTAGACGCGGGAATTGAAGCAGTTTCTGGGCCAAGTACAGATAAGGGGCCTTTCGAACTGCTGGCCAAGGCGCTGCAGCAGCAGCAGAAGCATTCGCTGCTGCAGCAGCAGCACGACATCCTGGAGGCTGCTGCTGCTGCTGCGTCTATTACACCCCTAGCAGCTGGCACGTCAGGAACCACTAAACGAGCTGCTGTAGCAGCCCTCGAAGCTGCTGCCTCTTCCACCCTCAAGCATTCGCCCCAGCAACGAAGGGAAACAACGTACAATTCCAACCTTGGACTGTCTCGTACGCACCCTATTCCTCAAGTACCACGCCCTTATATTTCCCCTAGTCTAGGCATTAGGCAGCCCGTGTTTGTATGGCGACAGAATCGGAGAATGAGTGTAATGCACGATTTCGTGGTTTTTTTCTCCAAGAGGCTGAAGGGAACAAAACATGGGAATATAAAGCAGCCGCGCAAACTTCATGTGCTGATATGTATGCAGCTGGCACGGAGAAAAAAAGATGTAGCACCCTGAAGCCTCCGCCGATCGTCTGCAGCCTTGAAGGCGAAGCAAACATGAGAAGAGAAAAGGGCAGGACGGTCAAATTGAAGCCATTCAAGCTAAATCCCAAACACCAAACGCTGAACATCAAAGACTACTGATGACAAGCGAGGGGGTATTTGGAGTTAGGTGTTATCTGCCTTTTGCACCGGCTTGCCTGACGAGGTTTGGTTTAGATACCCCGTTGCAGTAGATGCGGACATGGACACAAGTGCAGGCAATACCTCCTGCACTAGTGCGAGTGCATACAAACATATCAGCAAAGCGAAAGGGGTTGCAATTGGCTTTTCGCCGTGTCGGTTCACAAGCAAGCAGAAGACGAAGCTCAAGAGGCACACTCCCCCAGTTTGGGGCAAGCCCTGAATTGTAATACTGTATTCTCCTCTTCGTTCCCTAGTCTCTATATTTTCAAGGCAAGCAATAAGGGTGTACGTACCTTCTTCCGTTTCTCCTTGAACAATGGATAGTCGATTACGTTAGTTTGCTCCTTGCACCCATTTGCTGACTCTTGGGTGTCTTAAGAATACGTTTTTGGGGTGATTAGGGCACAGAGCCACTGCAAAATCAACACAGGCATCCTTAACGGTCTCGGGCGGCTGCTCCTGCTGCTCGATGAGGCGGCGTAGGGCTTTCCTCTGTTTCCTGAGTTTGGGGTTTTCTCTACTCCCTCCGCATGCAACGATCTGTTCCTCTATCCTATCATACTGCTGCTGCAGTGCCAGAAGCTGCTGCACCATTTTCTGCTGTGATTGCTGCATGGGGCCAATGAGGGAAAGCACCACGGGCAGAAGCATTAACCCGTGGGTAACCCCCACAATTATCACCAATGTTGTCATTTTGAAAAACACAGAAAGCACTGGGCTGTCAACAAATGCCAAAGGGATAACCGCTAGCTGCGTAGACAGAGCACCATGCAACAGAGGACCTCCTACAAGCAAAACTGCTTCAAATGCCCGTAGGCCTCTCCTCTGGCCCATGCAGTGGCAAAATGCGTGGGTCGTGTGCGTTGCGTAGTCCACAGAAAATCCTTCAAGCACACCCATACGGACCAATACAGAAACTATAACTCAGCACAGAACCCTGAGCTCTAGCCTCCGCAGAAAGTGCGAAACGTGCGAACAGAAGTACAACTCAACATACTCGCATCTGGAACAAAAGGGGCTACGTCCATAAACTGCACTGGCAGCACATTCTTCGCGCGTTCCAAATGACACCCAAAGGAGATAGAACTATCAGAGAGTAAAATCTAGACACTCTCTTTCTTTCATGTTGTATCCATCTGCAGGCAGGCGTGCAACACTTTCATGAGTTAATTGCAAGTGGCTAGTGTGATGCTGCACTCGTCATGGACTGCATCTGTGCCGTCATATACGCTCTACTACGCTGTAATCTTCCATGTAAAATGCTCACTGACTCAGTTGTAATTTCATCTATGCGCGTTGCTTTTATACATTTTCGCATTTTAGTGGATGGCAACCATACTCTCTTCAAACGAACTTCACGGGACTCCTTATATATGCCGTAAATACCAAAACACTACTCCATATATTACCTAAATAAGCGTTCGCCCTATTTCTATTTGTGCCCAAATTATTGGTGTCAAATGCCTCTGAAAACTACTAGTGTGCGTCTAAAGCATCCTTTGAACTGCCTGGTACTGCCACTAAGCTACGTTGCAACCCACCGATGGATATGGTGAGGTTCACCATTGTGAGCAAGTTGAGTGGCAAGCCCCAAAGAGCCATAAAACCCAAGATAACAACGTCGATGACCAGCAATATCGCCACTACAATTAGAGCTCCTCGTAGAGAAGGCAGCAGGAACAGGGAAACCTGTAAATCAACAGCACGGCACAAACGAACGCAAGGATATCAGATGTTTCCAACGTTCCACTTGCGCGTCTAGGATACTTTTTAATGGGCTTTCTGTAGTTTGCTCCACTAACATTAACATCAGTCGTTGCTGCGGAGTGCATACGAAGGCTATCTACTCAAAAACCGTTTGGCCTCCATAGCCCTTCATATCTCAGTTAATGAAAAACGCACAATAATCACGGCGCATCCTGCACTGGCTAAGCTGCTGATGGTTTGAGGTACAATGGCATCGTCGCTTTCGAAGTAAACAAAGTTCCGGTTGTACGCCGCTCCTTTCAGCAGCGGAAACTTAGCCAAGTCAGCCCTGGTAATCAGAGGACGCAACAAGAAGAAATACGCACCTTTGGAGCTCACATGTACATCTGTCTCGCCGAAGTGGAACAGGAGCTCAGTTGGCTTCGGGATCAAAGCTAGAGGGTATCACTGGGGATCAATCACAACTATATGGAACAAATATACACATTGTGCTGAAGTGATTAAAGGGAGGTGCACCAGTTAGCTTAGGCATAAGGTGCAGCAATCTGAGGTTTGGGGCTTGGCGCACCTGAGCTGGTGCATGAAGTTACTGCTTTCTTGTGTACTGGAAAAGTACTTGGGCACCAACACCAACGCCCAGCCTCTCAGTCTAAATCCGCTGCTCCAAGAGAAAAAGGAGGCGAAGCTGGAACCGAAGGGGGTTTGAAGCCAGGCATAAAGCCTGAAAACGCGAGCAGGCACCGAAACGCACAGCACACAGCGCAACACAATACAACGTACCAGCGACGCTGCGGGATATATAGGAAGGTAGATAACTAAAGGTGCAGTCCATTGGTGAGAAACTGTAGCAGTTTCAAGAACAACAGCTAGCACGACCATGAATAAGTGGATGGCTGATGAAAGCGGTAATGTTTTTGCAGTGCACTGAACCGAATACAGTATTGTTGTTTATTCACAAATATCTAGCATTCTGTTTCTTTGTCAATCGCATAATTCTCCGAATTCCATGGTTTGTGGGAGGAGGCGAGATGCAACTCAGCGTACATCTGCATGCATGCCGTGGCATTCTGTTCAGGTACACTGCGTGCTAAAGGGGAATGAAGAAACAGGAAAAGACCGTCGTGAAGCTCCATAGTGTAGCTCTGCTGCTTCAGGGTCCCGTGAAGTTTCTCATACTCCACCTGCGTTTAAGTTGTTTGGACAGCAACCATGGGAGTTGCGCACTCATGCATGTCTTCGGCTGGCTCCAGGTGGAGAACCCGCCCAAGCTTGCATGCACTAGAGCGCTGCACAGATGCACACTTCTGCAAGAGCAGTAGTGGTAGTTCAGCTGTCAAGTCTCACTCGGAAGGCCGCTGAGCAAGCGTTTTCTGGATGACTGAAAAAGACCATCACCGGGTCGCCGTAGGTGCCGAAGAATTTTTCTTGCATGTCAAAGAAAGTCTATGTGCAACAGCGAACATATGGAATCGATGGTAATTCAAGGTAGCGCGATTCCAAAAACGCAGAAGCCAAAGCAAGTAGAAAAACATGAGTATATATATATATATATATATATATATATA